GGGGGAGCAGACCTGTGTGGGTGCGGGCGTGCCGCTGGAGTTCGTCACTCCGCGTGAACCTCTTCCCACAGAAGAACCAGTTGCAGACAAAGGGCCGCTCTCCGGTGTGCAGGCGCACGTGAGCCCGCAGCAGGGACGTCTTACGGAAAGTCTTGCCGCAGTCGGGGATGTGGCACACATGCTTCTTCTTGCCCTGTTCTCCGGACCTGGGAGTTGGGTTGAGGGTGGGTGGAGGGAATGGGAAGCAGAGGGAGCGAGGAGGCAGAAGAGGGGGCACAACAGGATGGAGAGAGGATGTGGGGTGAGGTCAGAGAGCACCAGAAGGGGGAGGAGGCCAGGTGGCATGGAGCCGCTACCTTGTCCCCTCTCCATCCCAGGCAGTGCCTGGGGCACAGAGCATATGCCAGGTTGGCCACCTGGCCCTTCTCCTTGAATTACCTCTTGTCCCCGTCCTTGCAGTTGGGACATGTGCAGGCCATGCGGCGCCGCTTCTCCCCGGGCTGGGCCTCTCCAGCCAGGGCCTGTTCCATCTGCAGCTGGATCTGGGTGGGGCTCAGCCCACTGATGGTCAGGTTGTTCCCAGAAACATTCTGTACCGTCAGCTGCTGCTGCCCTGTGGGGAGGAGGAGGGCACAGTCCAGAGTGAGGAAGCCCAAAAGGGCAGAGGAGGGAGCCTGACTCCCTTCTTCCTTTCTGCATGTGGTAAGGATGAAAATCATAGTAGCTAATATTTCTGAGAACTTGCTATGTGCCAGGCACCATCTTAGAGAGCTTAAATGTATTAACACATGTAACCTTCCTAACCCCGTGAAATAGGAACTGTCACCCCCTTTACAGATGAAAAAATAGACTCATCTTTGGTCTGCACCAAACTATTCTGAATTATATGTTAGTTGGAGAATTTTCCTGAGTATAGGTAAGGTCAACACGTGTCTTAAACTATCTCACGGGCCTACTGCAAGGGCTAAGTGGACATGCTTTTAAGCTGGAAGGGACCAGGCAGCCGTCAGGCATAGCCTCACTGTTGTAACTGGGAATCCCAGGCTGGCCCGCAGTTCCCGTGTCCGGGGTGCACAGGCACACTGCCCACGCCCTGGCCCGGGGGCCTTCCCTCACCGCCAGTGTTGGTGATGGTGACAGGGACGCCCTGGACCTGGACACCATTGATGTTGATGGTCTGCATGGCCTGGGCCGCCGCTGCCAGCTGAGCTGCATTCAGGCTGATGATGCTCCCAGCAGGTGCAATCTTTGGCAGGGGACGCTCTTTCCGGAGAATCGCAGCCGAGTGCTTTTTGCCGGTCCCACTCAGATGGGCAGCACGGGACGCAGGGCTGCTACACGTGGTGGTAGAGGTGGTTGCAGCTGTCGCTGGGGGGCTGTCCTGGACAAGGACCGTTTGTACCTCACCTGAAGGCGTACGGATGTAGACCTGGGAGGGGTGAGAGAGGAAAAGTCAGTGCTTCCGGAGAGACCTGGCTCCGCCACCCTTCAATGTAGTGTCACCTCGATGCCCAGGTGAGAAGTGGGAGTGCCTCTCGTCCACCCAAGTCTTCTCCAACTAGCCTAAACCTACGCTCAACAAAAAGGGGTGATGGTGTCCCTGTACTAAACCAACAAATGTTGACTGTTGATTGGAAACAAAACACGTAATTTACTTAGCATGGTAAAATATAATGCCAAATCTCTGAATTGAAGAATTAGAAGGAAGCTATATGATGACCTCACAGAAGATACACTGTGAATGCTCATCAAACAAATGAAAACAGCCTTTAGGACTCACAATTCAGATTGGCAATGATGGAAAAATAAAATATAACGCTTTGTTCGTGAGAAAGCAGAGAAAGAGGGGCGTGTTGTCACATCAGGGTGTGACGTGGTCTAGGCTTGCTGGGGAGAAGTCTGGGAATGTGTATCCAAAGCCTTAAAAATCTGCATGTTAGAGCCAGAGACTGACACATGCCACAGCACGGATGAACCTAGAAAACAGTATACTAAGTGAAAGAAGCCAACTGCGAAAGATCACCCATTTACATGAAATGTCCAGAATAGGCAAATCTATAGAGATGGAAAATGGATTCGTGGTTGCCAGGGGTTGAGGTGAGGGTGAAATGAGCAATGACCACTAAAGGGGTCTTTTTGAGGGATGAAAATGTTCTAAAATTAGATAGTGGTGATGGTTGCATAACTCTGTGAATATGCTAAAGCCCACTCACTATGCTGTGCACTTTAAAAGGGTAAATTTCATGGTATGTGAATAACTCAATAAAGCTGATAAGAAAAAAAAAAAAAGGGAGAGATGGGAATGTGTCAAAAGGGGTACAAGAGCCAACCTGAAAGCTCAAGTGGCCAAAGCTGGAACAACGTGAGCAACAAAATAAATAACACAGTATTGGATTGTAACCCTGAGTATAAAATAAATATACATGAGTCCCTTCTGATATAAATAAGTGATTGAATAAATAAATAAATGGAGAAGAAGCAAATCTTCCTTACAGAAGATTTCCAAAAAATATTACGTAGATGTTTTCCCTTCCAGGATACAGAGCTTAATTCTTGTCCCCACTCCCACCCCTGAAGATGGGAGACTTAGCAACTTGCTTCCAAAGAATCAAGAAAGGGAAAAGTAACAACTTGATAAATGAAGAAACTTGGCAAACACCACCTTAACCAAGTGATGACAGTTAACATCAGGGACGTTATGTCACCAGGGATGTTGTGTGGACATCATGTGCCCCTCGTGTAATGCGACGTGAAGGGGCATTTCACCTCTGTGGTAGTCTTTCCAAAACCCATAATCCCAGACTGGAGGATATTTTATAGGATACCTGACCAATGTGTCTCTATACTGTCAAGATCATGGAAAACAAAGACCGAGAAGCTATCCGACCAGAGGGACCTGGGGAGACATGCCCACTGAGTGCAATATGGTATTTGGACCAGATCTGGGAACAGAAAGAGGACATGAATAGAAAACTGGTGACGTCCAATCAAGTCTGGAGTTTAGAGAACAGTAATGTGCCAATGTCAGTTTCTTAGGGACACATGAACCCCAGTAATACAAGATGTTTAACAAGGTGGCGCAGGGTGTGGATCCCAGGTGAGAGGTGTAAGACCCTCTGTACTACCTTTGCAACTTTTCTGTAAATATAAACTTATTCTAAAATAAAAAATTAATTTAAAAAATTTCTATCACAGTAAAAGATACTAAAACAAGTAGGCAAAAGTCTGATGAGGAATTGAAGGAGGATTAATAAAATGGCCGCACTTAGGCTAACAGATTGCTTATTCCTATGCTTGCCCTTAAAACGGTCAACTGACCTGGCTGACCCGGTTGCTACTCACAGTTCCAGCTCCATTGTTAAAACTAAAGCTATTGATCTTACTGTTTCTACTTTATTCCAGTAATCAAAAGCCATAATCATGGCTTAGTCTCTGAGTCAATCTCCAGGGAGAAGGTCACAGGACTTAAACTTTACAAAATAGCCTGAATTACCAAGAAGACCACACCTTGAGTGCTTAAAGAGATAAAGAGATCTAATTGTTGGCCTCTATAGAATTGGTCGCCTGGAGGCATCATGTCGCCATTCTAAGTCTTCTGATGAGAAAATGATTCTGTTGCTTGTTATCAATGCTTTATTGTTTGAGCTATGGCTATATAACCCCTCTCCACCCCATCCCCAAGGTGGATTCACAGTTTTGAAGGCACTAGCCTGCTGGGAGTCCCCTTTGCCCGGCAAAGCAATAAAATTGCCTCTTTTCTTCTAAGCTCCAAGACCTTGTGTCTGGGTTATTTGGCTTGTCAGGGACGGGGCCGATCTTTCAGCAACAGAATGAGTTATTTACACAGAAAATATCTCCCTACAAAATACTAATCCATTACAAAGAGAACAAAGTAATAACTTTATGGGGCAGAAATCTGCCAAATATCACTTTAATCATCACCAGTAATGAGACAAGTCAAAATCACGCACCCCCTTTTAGGATGCAGTGAGAACACAGCATCACTTCTGTGATATTTCTGCAAAAAAAACTTGCATGCAGTCATGAGGAAACACCACACAAACTTAAATTGAGGAACTTCCTACAAAGGCACGTAGCATTCTAAGTGTCAAGGTCATGAACTTCAAGTGAAGACTCAGACTATTCCAGGTCAAAACAGACTAAGGAGATGTGACAATTAAGTGCAATGCATGACACTGGATGAGATCCTTTTGCCACAAAGGAAATTACTGGGGCGAGTGTGAGAACTGAATGGGGTCTCTGAATTAGACGTTATATGCTTCTTGGCTAATTTCCGCTGTTTGATGGTTGCACTGTTATGTAGAATGTCCTCCTTGCATGTAAGAATTACACACTTTCTATAAAACATTCAAAAAAATTGGGGGCATGGTGGCAACTTACACTCATGATGCAGGGGAAAAAAGTTACTTGTTTAAAAAAAATCCTGCTGTGATTTTGATTGGGGTTATTTTTAATCCCTGGATTATTTAGGGCTGTGTTATCTCTTAATAAATACGCATCTCATCCCCAGTTTTCAGATACATGCCACTTTTGCAAATCGTTGCTATTTTCTGCGTATCTGAAGTTTCTGTTACTAGAACATTTTCTTTTCACCATATAGAACAGGGGTCAAAACACTTTTTCAGTAAAGAGCAGATAGTAAATGTCTTAGGCTATGCGGGTCTTGAGGCCTCTGCCTTGTGGTCCAAAAGCCGCATAAATGGGCATTTCTCTGTTCCAGTTACACTTTATTTACAAAAACAGATAGAAGGCCAGATCTGACCTCCGGGCTGTGGATTGCCAGTCTCTCTGGTACAGAGTATAATACATTTTTAAAATGTGTGTATCCTTTGAGCCGCTTTTAGGATTTAATGATAAGACTGGAAACAGCCTAGATCTACAGCTAATAGGGTTTTAGTTAGATAATAGACTGTACCTCAGGATATCATTAAAAAATAATGTTGCTAAATCTTTCTATGTATGTCTGATTATTTCCTTAGGAAGACCTGATTTTAAGCCCTGCCTCCATCAGTCTCAAGACCTGGGACATCAAAGAAGGGAGAGGAGGCACTGCGGAGGATGTGGCACCTGAGCGGGTATCACCTCAGTCCTGCACCATTAAGGTAGGTCTGATAAGGGAACCTATCACACATGTTGTAACAAATTAAAGGATTCATGGAAAATCAGCTGGCGGTATGTAATATGCCAGAGGAAGGAGGCATTTGAGGGCAGGCCTCAGATTTTCTCGTGCATGACTTCCACGTCCACAGCTCAAATTCAAGGGCACTTCTGCCAGAAGACTGCACAGCTCCCTGCTGTCACTCACTCTGATGCCTCGGTTCTCTCTACAGACACCTGGATTATAAATTCCATGGCAGGAGCTGTTTTTTAATATTAAAAAAAAAATCCTTGTACAATTTTAGTTGTAGCCCCTTCCACATGTAAGACACAATGAGCCCAGGTGGAATAAGAGAAAAAGTAGAGGCCAGAAATCTGAGTTGGATCCTGGCTCTTGTCATTTGTGCTCTATGGGATCTGGATGTTTGACAACTCCTCTGAGTTCCAGGCCCTCCCTCTGCAGCATGGGCCCAATCTCCGGCCTTTACTAGGCTCACACAAAGCATAAAACCTGCCTTGCAGAGCCAAATGAATCTGAGTATTACAGCACCTTAATAAATGCCAAAAATAGGAAGTTCTTGTTAAAGTTAGCATCCCAGATGAATCTCGCCTAAATGTTCCTTCTATAAAGCTAGGCTGCTTCTTCCTGTTTTTTTTTTTCTTGTCATTAACAATGATCAGCATTTTTCTCATTAATTTTCTTACTTTACATCAAATTCTATGGTTCTGACTGGAATTTTTTCATTCCTGCTACCATTCTGGGTATGTAATTCTAGAATAAAAAATAAACTTTATTATTAAAAAGTATATATCCACCCCCTACCTATGGCCCCACTAAAAGTCTCCCGTAGAGGTTTCCAAAATATAGGCATACAGGTATGCTGCATCTGATTTCTAAAGATAAGTGGTACCCCACTTTTGAATTGACAGAAATGGCCATTTACTACCCACCCCAAAGGACACTGACCACTGCAAACGACTGACTCCCAACACTCAGGTCAGACTGGGAGACGCACCAGCATCATCGAGGAAAGCAAGCCGAGGGGAATGGAGCGGCAGAGCTGAGGAGGAGAGGGAGGCGCGTGCGGAGGGTGCGCGTGGTACCTGAGTAGGCGACGGCTCGGCAGCCTGGATCTGAAAGTTCTGGGAGGGCTTCTGGGGGACGGTGGGGAGCGTGGCGGACGCCGCCTGCACCACCCGCAGGGCCTGCTGGGGGATCTGCACCACCTGCTGCTGCTCGGCCTTGGGGGGCACCACCTGGACCTGCTGGACCACGGCTGGCTGGCCCCCACCAGGGCTCTGAACGATGAGCAGGTTGTTTCCCGCCTGGATGATGTTGTCCGCAGTGGTCTCGATCAGCACCGTCTCCACCTGCTCAGCCACAGCCACAGGGGGCTGGGAGGCAGGAAGACTCTTCTTCCTGGCTTTCTTGTTAGTCTTGGACAGTGGGGCAGGGGGGCTCTCCGCAAGGAGCTGAGTGGGGGCCCCGGTGTCGCTGGTGTTCACGAGGTTGTTGACAGGCAGAGTAAGTGTCACGTTGCCACCCCCACCTGTCAGCTTTACCACATTGGCCCCGCTCTGCACAGGGGTGGTGGTCGTACTTGACTTCTGGACAGGGGCTGGCTTGATGGGGACAGGCTTGTGACTGGATGGTGAGGGGGTGATGATGGCTTGGTTGGTGCCAGGGATGATCTGGATCTGGTTGGTGAGATTGGGCTGTACCTGGATGGTCTGGGAACTGCTGGCCTGAATCTGAGGGACCGCCTGGTACTGGATGCTGGCATTCGCTCGGGACCCCTTGTTGATCATGGTGGGATTCTGGATAGCGAACACCAGCTGCCCCCCGGGATAGGACGCACTCAGTTGTGACCCCTGAATCTGAAGTATGTTTCCTTTGGAGGACAAGATTCCAAAGCTATTCTTGCCGGGACTGAGAGGGAGAGGGGCGGGTTTAATAGGGACGAGCTTCCGTGGTGTGGGCTGGGGGGGAGCAGGAGGCGTCACTGCAGCTTCAACAGCTGGAGGGCCAATTTTGCTACATGTTGCGGCAAGCAGGGCTAAGGGAGATGGCTGGGAGTCCTGCAAAACACCAAGCGGAGACGCAGAGTGAGACGTGAGGGCCTGCTGCCCAGCACCCCCGCCCTTTGGGAGCCTCTCCTCTTGGCAGGCTCCTCCTCACCTGGCAGGCAGGGAGCCAGCATCCTCCCCCTGCAGTGGCCCCTGTCTCTCCTTCCCCGCTGGTTTCTCCACTGAGTAATTAAGGGGGAAAGGGTGGGAAATGTCTTTCTCAGGAAGGAACTCCCCAGAAGCATCCTCTGACAGGGTGAACTAACAGCCTGAGCTGACCACCAGCCTTGTTTCTAAAGGGGATGTAGAATCACTTTCAGCTCGTAGACGGAGCTCTGGTAGCCCACAACATCAACTGAGGAAGCACTGAGGAAGGGAGGGAGGGACAGAGAAAGGGAGGGGAACAGGAAGAATAAGCTCTCTGGAAAAGTGTTTTCCAGTGCTTGGGACGTGACTTTTCTGACTCGGCAGGGCTGCTCTTTCCAAGTTACAAGGAAAGAGCCTCTGGTCTGTGGGGTCACAGCCTCTGTTTTCCTTTTATGGCCAGCAGGGTCTAGTGGAAGGGCCCTTGAGTTTCATCCTGCTTTTCCCCCTGACCCAACTGTGGCCCTTTAGGTAAATGGCCCTTCATTTTTTAGTTCAGAAAAAGTGGAAAACTGAACCCTCCTCTGTGTAAGCAGAGTGAGCCAGGACAGTTTCAGTTGTGGGTTAATGTCAGCTGCAGTGAGCCCTTCCAGGCCGATGCAGCCCCCAACCCTCAGAACACACTGCCTACTTGCCTGGGTGGTAGAGGCGGCAGGCTGAAGGTAGTCACTGGGACTGACAGCGGCAGTGGCAGCCATGCTGGTCTGTGGATCTGCTGGAAGAAAAGAGATGGAGTAAGACCCATGATGCCCCAAAAGAACCAAAGGAACCCAAGTCCTTTTGCCTCAGATTTCCTTTTTGCCTTATTTGCTGCTGCTTCCCCAAGAGAGGTTAATAACCTTTCCCTACACTTCCCCACTCAAGGTTAGCTACCCTACAACTTTTTCAGTAGACGACCTTCTTCTCTCCGCAGACTCAGCCATCAAGGGCTGCAAGGACAGCTGGTCCTGTCTCCACTGGACTGTCCCCTCCAGCCATCATAAAGTCTAGGAGAACAGTGAGACTATACTAAAACTGTATAGAGTAGCAGTCACCAAGCTGTGCCATCTAATGGAGCCCTCTCTGGTGGGCACTGCTGACTCTCCCTAGCTAGACTGTACGGTGGGTGGGGGAGCCCCCAGCTAATCCTGTAGCTCTGACCCAGGCTTCTTGCTCACTCCTGCTGTAGCCAGATGCCAAGCCAGCCTGGGAGAGAAGCATCACTGGGCTAGAATCCCTGGCAAGGAGGACACACCCACTCCATGCAAAAGTCTTGAGTGCTTTCTACTCAGCCTTCACCACAAAGGTGCAATGGCTCGTGTGTCAACATATGGGTAATTGCTTTAAATGAATTTACAGTTTTACACATGACAAGATGCATGATCCCACAGGTATCACCGAGACTAGGACAGCTAATAACTGAATATAATGAGAAGAATGAAAATATAATAAATCCCATTTTTGCTTAAATGTACATATATTTCTACATATGAATATAGCAGGATAAAGTCTTAAAAAAAAAAGCTAAAATGCAAAAAGCCATAATCTCCTGGTGGTAGATTTTTGCTTCACTTTTTTCCCCTTGTTTTTCTGTATTTTCTCATTTTGCCCACAATGAATACACTCTATTGTACTTTCGTTTTAAATAAAGGAAAATAAAGAACGTTGAGGAAGTAATGAAGGGAATCTCTACCCTGAACTTAAGTCTGATCTAAAAGAATACAAGACAAGTAAAATGGAAATCAGGAGAATTTGGGGGGAAAGAATCTAAGCCATGTTATACTTTATAAATTACTAAGAAAAAGAACACCGGCAGAGAGTCAGACTTGTATCTTAGACCTTTGGAAAGTAGGTTTCAGAAAGTACAGAAACAAGAAGGATATTATTCAGAGACTCAAAGAGGCAGTGGCTCAGGCATGGAGCCCCTGATGGGCATCTGGAGAGAAGAGAATAGACAGAGGTCAGGGGGAAGGTGGAACCACCCACATTTTGGCTGGTCTCTGGCTTCTCTCTTTGGGAGAATGATTCTTTTTTTTTTTTTAACATTTTTTTATTGAATTATAGTCATTTTACAATGTGTCAATTTCCAGTGTAGAGCACAATTTTTCAGTTATACATGAATACACATATACTCATTATTGCATTTTTTTCCGCTGTGAGCTACCACAAGATCTTGTACATATTTCCCTGTGCTATACAGTATAATCTTGTTTATCTATTCGGGAGAATGATTCTTAAATGGGAAAAAGTAAAGAAAAGGTAAAGGGGGACCTGCAGCCCAGGACAGGTGCTCACCAATGCCTTAAATGGTTTCCAGGCCATAAGGCCACAGAAATTGCACTCGGGAATGGGAAGACACTTTGTAGGCACACTTGCAAACTGTGTGAGGAGCCAGAGGGCAGCTCTGGGCAAAATCACATAGGTAGATCCTGAACTATTACAGACACTGATCCTGAGCAAAATCCTAGAAAAAATGACTAAACAGCACTACAATTAGTGAGGTAAGGACGCAGTGATCACAAGAAATAAGCATGGGGTTGCCAAAAACAAGTCATGCTGAACAAATCTGTTTCTTTTTTAATGGGGTTCTGGACCACTACATCAAGAGAATGGTATACACTACATATTTTATAACAATAAGGCATCTGACTGAAATGTTCTTATGAACAAGGAAGGAAAGACGTGCAGGCAGGATGGCAGTCTGGTCTGGGGGCTAAGCTGAACATGCTTCCACCTAAGTGCTGAGATCCAGGCCGTCCTGACGAGTTTGCTGCTGCAAGGTCAACCAGGGTCTCATACTAGGGGTGAGTCCCAGGACCAGGGTCTGCAGGCTTCTCCTCAGAGGCTCTTGCTTTCTTGGCCAGAATGTTTTATTCTTGTGTTTTCACTGTGATGATCATCTTTTTAAAAATGAACATATACTAAAGATTGCTGGGTGACTTACTTAACCAAGATTTGCACATTTCTGGGCCTGTGTGTATGTTTACAACTCTGCTGGTACCAAGTGGCACCACTCTATGTGGGCTAATTAAGACAACTTAATTCTGCATATCTAATTCATGATACATCTGTGCAAAGGGAGAGATGACATCTCCTCAGAAGCCTGGGAGGACCAAGTTGCTGGGCACTAGGCACTGCAGGGTAGGCGTGTGGAACTCAAGGAGCCAGATGGGGGCCCGGATGTCAAGTCTGTGCTGGGTTTATGCTGATAGCAGTGATTTGGGATCAATCAACCACTGTCCCCCTAGAATGATGCTGACTAGAATTCTACTGGCTTTTTTGTAGATATTTAATTAATTTTAGAGAAACTAGATCTATGAGTTGATAAACAGATTTACGTGCATTTAGCAAGGTTGCAGCCTTATAATGAAAACAATCTAAGTTGACTCAAAAACATTTTCCCTTTAGAGCAGTGGTGTTTAAACTCTTTGGACCATGAACCACACTTATAAAAACAATTTACATCAAGACTCAGTGTGCGTACACGCACCCACACACACTTCCCTGTCCTGTGCTCATGTAATAAGAATTTCCTGAAACAAAATTTGCCCTTGCTACATGTGATAGCCTTTTTTCTACTCTATTTCATTTTTTTTTAAATGCTGGCTATGACTCACTGAATTGGTTTTGTGCCCCAGAGGCTGGAAAACGTGGCTTCAAAGTAGTCTATCCACCACCCAAGTTTAGGAAACCATGCAAAAGACCTAGAAGGCAAGTTAAATTTATGGATGTCACAAAACTGAGGATTGTAAACACAATGGATGTCTGTATCAGGGTTCAAAGAGATCTTTAAAAAACCAGTATGTGCAGTGGCTTAAGAGCATGAGGCTCCAGACCTCAATGAGAATTCAGACCGTGGGATGGCTGGGGATTCCTTTCCCAGCCTCACTGCCCCACCTGTAACACAGAGGTAGTGTCATCCTTACAGGATTCTGGGAGGCGTCGGCAATATGAAAAAACATTGAGCACACGGGGGTAATCAATAAATGGTGTTTAAACTTTGAGATTGAGTAAATACTGCACTTGGGTTAAGGCAAAAAAAAAATCACACGCATATAGGACAGGAAGACAGAGCTTAATAATGGTTCTCACGTGAAAAAGCCCCAGTGGTTTTGACTCAAAGTTAAATGGGAAGCAAGAGAATCTAGATGTGGTTGCCAGAAAAGCTACTGCAATCTTGGGCTGCATTTCCAAAAGTTCAATCAGAGAAGAAGAAAATAATAGTCCTAGTCTGCTTGGCACTCGGGCCCCATCTGGAGTGTCAGATTCCGTCCTGAGGGGCATTTTGAAAGGAGGATTTTCAACTGCAGCTTGTTCAGAGGAGAGCAGCCATGCTGTGACCCGGAACCAGAGCAGCGATACCCACCAGGGTATTAACTCCCCTTGTGGGCTCAGTGGTAGAACCAAGATATCAGGGTGGAAATTTCAAGAAGGCAGATTCCAGTTTATTAGAAGGGAGAACTTTCAAAAGATGGAATCAGTTACCTCCTGAGGTAATGTTCTCCCTTCTCTGGAATCACTTAGCCAGAGGCGGGATGTGTGTCTCCGTCAGAGACAGGATGTCTAGATGGGGTGGGAAGTTGGACTAGATGATCTGTGAGATTTTTATAATTCTCAAGCCATGCTGCTGATAAAACCCCCAGAGGAGTTAGCTGCTGACAGGGCTGGAAGGGAAGGCAGGGGCTCTCCCAGGAGGCTCCTCTGGGCTCAGGTTGGCTTAGCTAAAAATGGTGGATGACTCTCCCTCAGACATCTCTGTTATGAAAAGGGAGGACACCAGAACAGGACAGAGTGCAAACAAAATGAAAACTGACCCAGTGTTTACTCACCTTCCTTTCCCATCTCCCCCTCTCACTCTGCTCTCATTATCACCCTGGACTGTCTGGAGACCAGGCTGGGCTGGGTGTCTCTCCAGTTAGGAAGTTACAGCAGAGTACCCCCTGATGCAAGCCGTGGAAGGCTGGCACTCCACTCACACCGCCTCGCACGATCTCAGTTGGTTTCCTTTTCCTCCTCAGCGGGCCCTTGAAATACTCTAGACCTCAAACCAATGTTTGTAAGTATCTCTCCTAAAGACACTTACAGCTTTGTGGCCCCTGAGCTGTGGACCTGGGCAACCAAAACAGAGAATAATCTCCCTGCCATTGCAAAATGATATCCTGGGATTAACCATGAAAGGGAAAAGACAAGCAGTTCCAGTTGGTGTTTGGAAATGAAAACTGCAATGGTGTTTCAAAGGTACTTTAGAACCTTATTAATTTGGAGCCTGACATTTAAAATGTGTAATTTGGACATAAATTGTGCTTTCCTTTACACTATTCAAAGCGAGGCTGAACAGTGTATGAAGACTGCAAAGGGATGCTTTGGCATAGTTAGGTAACTGTTTAATACCACTGCCACTGTTTTAATTGTACCATTTGCTTTTAACAGCAGTTTATAATCTGCTAATTGAAACCTACATTTAGCAACATCAGTAAGTGGGGTCACTGCATATTCTTGGAAGAAAAGACTGCATTTCCTTCAGAGTTCTATTATTCAGACTTTTCATTAATTTGGGTCGGCTAAAACTTTCCCAACAGTCCCTTGGCTGGTGAAGTTTTATGCTAATTTACTACACATGCAATAGTAGCTCTCTTAGGCTCCCAGGAAAATTTCCAAGGCTATCAAACAAGGCTTCTAGACATGGGTGAAGGGGTGTCCACTGCCTGATGGGACCACTCCTGACTTTCCTTTTCCCCATACTGGAAGCCAGTTTAATCCCCAAACCAGGGGAAAAGCATCCCCTGAGGGTCCAGACTCTCACTGTACATACAGTTCTTTCATCTCCACCTCCGCCCTCCAGCTACATACAGCCTACTCCTCCTCCCTCCCAGGCCAAACTTAGTAGAAAAGCTGCTAGCACTTTCTCATGTGCTCACTTGGACTTTCATCCCAGTCTCTGCTGATACTGTGCTTGTCCTGGTCTCCAAGGACCTCCTCCTTGTTAAACCCAACAGACTGTCTTCAGCAGTTCTTGGCCCTTTGACCAGCCCCTCCTCCTCCAAACCTCCATGGATTTTCTCTGACCTCTCTGGCCCCCTCATCCCTTTTTGGGCTCCTCTTTTGCCACCCCTTCAATACTGCTGTTCCTCAGCATCACCTTTCTCACCCAACACCCGTTCCCTGAGTGTGCCCACTCACAGGGCTTCAGGTACCTTCCACAGGCTGACTCCCAGGTCTGTATCTGGCCTGGAGGCCCCGGGCTCTAAGTGGCAGACCAGTAGCTCCAGTCCTCTGTGGGCCTTCCACTTGGGCTGGCCGCAGAACTTCCAATGCTCAGCTGTCCCCTTTGCCCATTCTCTCCCTGGCTTTCTCATCCCCAGCCACCATGGGCTTCCTTCCACATCCATTAAGAGCTTCCATCTCTGCCGCTGCCCTTTGTCTTGCTTAGAGCCCCTTCTTCTCTCTCCACTAGTTTACATCTACTCACCTTTCTGGTCTCAGCTTTGTTTCTTCCCAGCAGAATCTGCTGAGAGCCCATTAT